AAACTAAATTAAAATCAGTCTAATTTCATATAGTAATTAGTTAACATACATTTCTTGTAATAATATCTTTCAAGCTATTTGTATTTATTAGAAGTATTGTTTAAATTATTGATGCTGTTCGTTTACTTTCACTTCTAAGCCATATTATAGATTGCTAAGATTTTTGTGCAGTTTTAAACCCTAATTTCTTTCCGATCATTTGTTCATAATTTTCAGGAATTTTCATTTTGTGGAAGGTGTTTACGTGTATTGCAATACGTTTTTTCTTGTTACTCGTGCTTTTTTCAGACAATGAATATCAGTAACAATCCGGTGAAGGGTTTCCTTTTAGATATTACCGGTGTTTTATACAATAGCGATCCAAACACGATTGGACGTGTTATACAGGGATCAGTGGAAGCAGTTAATAGGTTTTTCCTTTTAATTAAAAAATCAAAATTTATTAATCGAGCTTAAAAATTATTCACATCCATTTGTCTAGCATACACACACACACACACACACACACACACACACATACATATACATACACACACAGACCTTATTAGTAGCGTTTAGAAAATATTTGGAACTTTGAGTTACCATTTTGCTTTGAGTTGCCATTTAGTTTATGGGTAACTGTCGAAGTAATACAGATATTTTGATATTTTACTGAACTGCGATTAATTTAGCCAATAGATAGAATAAAGAAAATAGATACATCTTTTTACTCCGAACACAAAAACCACTTATTCGAACTTTTTGCATTTGAAACTAGAAATTTTGGGAACACACTGTCGAAATTTCAGACTTTTTTATGTTGTATGGCTAAATGTTCAGCGTAAGTGAGAACATAATTTAGAATTTGTTAGTTTAAGTTAACTTGAAGTATTTCTCTGTATCATCTCTTTAATAATTATGAAACAAACTTCTAACATTTGAAGGGAATTTGCGTACCACAAGAGTCTACCGCGTTTATTTACCTACCACGTTTATTCGAACTTCTTGCACTTAGAATTAGAAATTTCGAGTTTACAATGTTAAAATTTCAGATTGTACGCTGAAAGTACAGTTCGATTTGTGACAAATGAAAGTACACGTAGCCGTAAGCATTTATTCGAAAAATTGACAAAACTTGGGTTTACTGTAAACGAAGAACACATTTTTATGCCGGTTCCAGAAGCGAAACGGTACATCAAGGATCATAACCTTAGACCACATATACTGGTGCATAAACGTATGTTATAGAATCTTCATGTTAAACTTCATATTCTTAAGTTTGACTCACAGTCTTTGCTTTCCCAATTCAGTTTTCAACATTTTTTACCATTTGAAAAAATATCCAATAAATTTTGCATTTTATTCTAGGTGTTCGGGAAGAATTTGAAGATCTCGATACAAACCATCCGAATTGCGTCTTATTGGGTGATGCCGAAGGAGGGTTTACCTACGAAACAATGAATGCTGCTTTTCGAGTCTTGCAGAAAACGAGTGATCCGTTGATTATTACTTTAGGTTGTGGGTTAGTTTCATTTTTTTTAATAGTTCAGAATCTAGAATCTATTGGACTGTTTGTCTTAAAAAGTTAAAACATCATTGTCCATTTCATTTTATTTAATATTAGTAAATTTCTTTTTTTTCTTGTCTTCTTTGTGAATTTTTCTGCAGCGAAAGTCCCAACATTTGTTGGACGGAACAATTTCATCACTTCATTGATGGAAATTAATGATTAATAAGTATGTGATGGCACGCAAGCTTGACAGAGAACTCCCAACAGTATTGGATATGTTAAGAATTCACATTCTGATTGAAAATAATTGAGAAATGATAAAGAAAGTTTGGAAATGGGTGACTGCTCTTTCATTTAATTGGTAATGTGATCATTTTATGGAAACTTTATTTCCAGAAAATTTTATCAGCGACTGGATGGACCGTGTATGGACGTTGGTGGTTTCACACGTGCATTGCAATATGCATGTGATGCACGAGTCATTACTATCGGGAAACCAGAAGAGCAATTTTTCAGGAATGCTGTTGATGATATGGGTTTAATGACCAATCAGGTTGTTCATTTTAAATTATTTTCAATTGAATCGTAATTTTTCATTGTAAAATGCAATCACACGGGGAATTCTTTATTCTTTTCTTTTCTTTTCTTGGAATTCTTTTTTCTTTTTACTGTCACTATATGTTCTTGCATTTATCAACAGTATCATTTATTATTTTCTCTGTCTTTCTCCCTCACTGTCTTTCTCTCTCATTCCCTTCTCACCAGTCATTCTAAATCCATGGAGAAGGGAAAGAAGAGGAATGTTTGTGGTATAAATTGTCTTCCTCTAGCATTACTTTTCCTTTTGAGAAATTGAATGGAGTGGAATTAAGGATTGCTTGGAAATAGGAATGGTTTAGGTTGTAATGATTGGCGATGATATTGTGTCGGATGTTGGTGGAGCGCAGAAAGCTGGAATCAGAGGTGTACAAGTACGAACAGGAAAGTGGAGGTAACTAAAATGCTGTATTTAAAAGAATTTCACATTCAATATATATTCCAGCGAAGAATTTATTGTATCATATTCTTTTTCAGAATACTTTGTTCTATTTTTCAGACAGTGTTGGATAAATCATACCATCAAGCCAGACCTGCTAGCTGATGACTTACAGTCCGCTGTAGATATGCTTCTAAAGAAAAAAACAAACTGAAATACCTATAGTATGTCTAGTACCGGTGTGATGTAAAAAGATATTTGTTTGATATTTCTCTTCTGATACCAATAGTATTTTCAAAATTAATTTAAATGTTTTGCTTAAAAAGTGTTTTTTACATATACATATATTAGTAATACCTTAAAAAAAATATAGTGATTTTTTTTTAAAGAACCTTTTTTCGGTTGATTCAGTTTGCTGTAGAAATTGAAATATGGCCAATTTTTTTAGGTATAATCCTTCTTTTCGAAACACTTTGCGTTTCTTCACTTTGTTTCTCTGGTCGTAAATTGCGGAAGACTTACGACCATTTTATCAGTTTTTTTTTAGGTTTTAATCCATCGGTATTAATATTTGTTTGATTAAACAGTCTAATTTTGGTTGCCAAACTTTATGCCACATTTCATATGTAAATAACCTTAAAAAAGTTTTTTAAGAAAATTTTTTCAACACCATATCACAACGATGCTTCTGCTGAAGACGTAAAATTCTATTCGTTAAACCAGAAAAAAGGATTGATATTTTTTCAATTAGAGCTTATTATTAAAGCGTATTATTATTGTTATTATTAT